ATGTTTGAGCAGTAAGGTGAGTTCATAGAATCATAGAATCACAGGATGGTTTGGGTTGGAAGGGACCTCTCAAGGCCATCTAGTCCCACCCCCCTGCTGTGGGCAGGGACATCTTCAACTAGATCAGGTCGCTCAGAGCCCCGTCCAGCCTGACCTGGAATGTTTCCAGGGATGGGGCATCCACCGCCTCTCTGGGCAACCTGGGCCAGTGTTTCACCACCCTCAGCGTGAAATTTCTTCCTTCTATCTAGTCTGAATCTACCCCCCTTTAGTTTAGGGATGTTTTTATGTTCAGAGATCTAGGGAGCATGAGGAGAGCTCTTCCTGGTGCTGGGTGTAGGGACGTGAGCAGAGGACCACAGAACAACATGCGTCGCTGAGCAGATCCTCGCTGGATGAGATCTGCAAGAAAGCTAAGGCAACTTCATGTAACGGTGGCCTCTCTACCGTTGCTATGAGGGATCGTGTAGGACGCTGTGGCTGGTGTAGCACCTCTGGGTGTTAAGGGTGTTTTAGTGGGAGAGAAGGATAGTTTGGTCACTGAGAGTGGGTACTACTCTATAACATGCTTTCTAATGCCTGTGCTAAACCACGTGATCATGGCACATCCAATTTTCTCTGGAAGAGTTAAGAGTGAAGAAGAAAGTTAAAAGGGAAGCTACCTTCTCGGGAAACACACTTGAAGACTGCAGCCAAAGCAAGATTCAGATGAGGACGTGCTAGCCAGCAGCAGGACTTACCCAGGGGCTGGGCGAGTTCTTCATTGCTTGAAGTCTCGAAGAGCGAAGGTCTCTGAAGTGGAAGGCTCCAGCTGCCGTGGGAGCTGTAGGGTTGCTGCAGTAGCAGTTTCTCCAGGCTGTTTGCAGATGGCCAGGATGGGTGGTCACAATAAACCCTGCTGGTCTTGGACTCGGGGATGCCTTCTCTGGTCTGCAAGCCTAAATTTATTACCATCCTCAGCAACCTTTCTCCTCCGTTACATCTTCCACTAGAGGAACTCAAAAAATATTATTAACTCAGTAACTGCTACTAAAATTAACTGTCATTTTTAAGGCTCTTCACGCAGAGAGAGAGGGACTGTTTTTTGAAGTCAGTGTGTTATGTTGTCATGCCAATGTGACAAAGCTGCTGCTCGATAAGATGCGTTCCCACCCAGCCCTTGCCCTTGCCCAGGCTGCTCCCTCGTGGCCCCTTGCACATGGTGATTCACCAGCAGTGGCTGGAGCTTAGAGGCTAAGATAGATTGCGATGGAAATAAAAGGAGCGACTTTTACAGGGCTTTTATTGCCAGCCTGGGAAGTACAATACTGCATAAATAAAAATCATTATGGTTATGACAGCTCTGTAGTCCCTGGAAAATAAATAATACTTTGCACTTACATAGTGCCTTTTGTCCAGGAACCTCAGTGCTCTTTGCTCACATTAATGAAGCTTCACGATGCCCATAGTAGGATGGTAAATACAGCATCCCCCTTATCAGATGAACATACTAAGTCAGAGAGTCGGCACCTTCAGTGGAGAGAGGACAAGGCAGCAGCTTGAGTTACACACAGCTCTTCCACTGACGTGACCGGGGCAAATCATTTAATGTCCTGGTCATCCCAATTGTTTCCAAGTAGGTGGATGCCACCCATCCCTACCCTAGGGGTGGCATGGGTTGACTAGCTCACAGTGGGCAAGCACAGCAAGATGCTCATGACAATGTCATTGACTTGCTAACGGCATGGCGGCGCAGCCCCAACAGACCAGCTAGCTGTGGCTCATGTTTGCTTACTCCAGTATCCTCAAAATGCTGCTGAGCATCATCCCCGTACAGACATTTTTACAGCTGAATTTTAGATAAATAAATAAATCCAAAGGAAACAACTCAGGGAAAGTGGATGGTTTAGGTGCACCAGTATCAGCAATGTCGTGTGTGAAGTGGGTCAATTCCCTGTAGATGGTGTATATGGGGATCCATCCATACGTGGTCCAGTTATTTGCCCCGTGTGGTTTCTCCCATACAGAAATTGCAGGTAACTTCATTCCCTGCTCGTTGCAACGGCCCTGAGAGGGTACAAGTCTGTGGATTTCCAGACCTGCTTCAATAGGGTCTGAGATGTTGTAAGGATGTTTGGATGGGAGCTGTTTCTTTTATCATGCTCACAAGTTGGGTGTACAGCTCTGTCTCACTCTGACCCCTTCCATATTGATGCCTCCTGTAACTTGGAGCTGATCGCTGCTTTTCCCTCTGTTTTACAGGGTTACCATCCATTGCCTCATGAAGCTGAAATTGCACACACCAAAAAACTGTTCAGAAGGAGGAGAAACGACCGGAGGTAGGTGAAACCTCTTTAATTATTTTTTTTTTTAATCTTCTCTTCTTCATTGCACATCTTCCCCCACTGTCTCATGGAGGGTCTTTGGACAATACTGCTCTTCAGCAGCTGCCAGCGTTGGGTTAATGCATAAACCCTTATTTGAGCACTAACGTCCTGAAAATGCAGAGTCTGTCCATCCCCCTGGTTTGTCTTTTAAATGTGGGGTATGTCCTATATTGCTCCAGGAGTATCTTAAGGACCTCGTCTTCCCCTTATACTTGTTCCAGCATAGCCAGATCCCCCCAGCTTGTGTTAGAAGAGGCAGCTGGCAAGTTATTATCTATAAAAGCTTTGAGTCCTTGCGACTTGCTTCCTCCCTTTCTATTGAAAAGCAAAATTTGCTGACTTTCAGGGTCGCCTGCAAAGTGGGAATGGTTGAGAGGGGTTTGCAGCAAGCGTCGGATGCCTGTCTGCGTGAAGGAGGGGGTGTGCTAAATAGGCAGCTGAGTTCCTGTGGCATTGGTGATTTCAATCCATTGAGTTAATTTAATTGGGTCAGTTTGATATTTAATTGTGTAAATTGCATATTTAATTATATAAGGGCATCTAGAGTCCTTGATAGGAATCACGACCATGGTTAAATGTGAAAATAAGCGGGGAATAAGGGAGTTAGTTGTAGATGCAGCTTTATTTCTGCCAGCGTGTTCTGCTGTGGCTGAGACAACACAACCGGGGCAATAAAGCATTTCTAAAACCAGGAGTTTGCAAGGTTAATGTTATTTAACAGGAGAGAAAGTGGCCAGTGTCTTCTCCTAGAGTGATCTGAAATCTGGGTCTGAGCTGTGATGCCTCACGTGGGGATTTTTGGGGGAGTCCTACAGACACCTGTAATAGCTGTTGGAGTGTGTCCTCAAATCTCCCCATCACTTCTCGACTCGTGAACAGCCGTGATGTAGTTAATTCTGTGCCTGGTTTGGTTTTCCCAAATTTTACCAGGGACCGAAAAACAGCTGAAAAGAGTTTGCTCCGGCATCCTAGAAACATTCTTCTGTGGGCAGGGTGGTTCGTCAGCAGCAAACTCTGTTTTCTCTCCTCTTTGGGTCTCCCTCCTTTTTTCTTGTATGCAATTTGAAGACAATTTCGTCTTGTGATTTAGGGGGAAAAAAAAGGGCTTGTTTCAGCTGGGTTGCAGCTCTGTGATCACCGAAACATGGTTAAAACCAAGCCGAAGTCTGCTTGTGTTGCAAGAGAGGGCTTCACGCAGAAGCCCACGAGGGTGGGCTTCCTCGCAGCGCTGGGCTGGGCTCCCTGAGAAATCGCAGCGGAGGTTGGAGCATCCTGCTCCCATCCCGGCTCACCGAGCAGGTCTTCCTCCACCATCCGAAGAGTGCGTGATGCTGCGGGAGAGGAGACCTGCAGAGCCGAGGGGTCTCCTGCCTGAAGCCCCATGCCCAAAGCTGCGCTGGACCAGAGCCATGGAACTGCGTGTTGGTTCTTCCCTCCCATCCGAAAACACAGCCGGTCTGAGGGATCACGCCAAATGTGTATTTCTTTCTGGTCCCTTCAGATAAACCATCAGCAGACAGAAGCATTCAGCCCCCGCAGGGCATCCCTGCCTCCTGCACAGATGGCAAGGAGAGATAGCAAAAGAAACTGCCTTGGGCTGGGGTTGGAAGATCACAGGGTGAGATACAGCCCAGACCAAGTAGCACTGGGATAATATCCCGGCAGGAGAGACAGAAGCCTTAAAACCCAGTTGATATGGCATCATGCGGGAGGAGACATGGGACCATTTCAGCCCTAAGCAATCACAAATAAAATAAAATGGAAAGAGCAGAGGGGATGCAGTCCTGCCCGAGTCCTGCACGGACATCCATGGTCGTGTCCAAGCTTAGACAGAAAAACATACTTATTTTAATTGGAAAAAGCTAAGAAGCCCAGGTTGAGGGAGTGGAGTGAAACAACAGTCTCTTAAATAATTATCTAAGCTGAAAAGGCATGGTCCCATCCCCTAGACTTCGGCTGGGGACCTCAGCAGCCCCCCTCTCCCCGCACCACATGGCTTGATGCTGGGGGTTTTCAGGGTCCCCTTGCCTCTGCAGTGCATTTGGGACTAGGAGGGAAGTTTTAGTCCTTCTAGTGCCTCTTCAGATGCCCCCAGAGAGCACTCGCTCCTTAAAATTGATTTCTAGCAGTTAGTGAGGTCTCAGAATGGTAGAAATAGGCAAAAAAAAAAAGGTAGAAATAGAGAAAAAAAAGGGAATGGGATAAAAAACCCAGACTGTACTGGAGCACAAAGAGGTTACAAAGCTGTTCACACTTTATTGCAGTGCTATTATCTTAATGCCCCAGGCATCATTCTGGGGGAGAAAAGCTTCATTTCGGAGCTGGTGGAGCCACACAGGTGGTATAAACATCCCTCAGGATGAGATTTTATGGCCAGCAAAACAGTTGGGAGTTGGGTTTTTTGTTTTAAACCTCATCTGGGTTCAAAATTGCAAGACTGTGGATGGGGCATCGGAGGCAGCGAGGCTTGGGAGAGGCTGAGCGAAGCCATTTGGTGGCGCGTGGGTTGGGAGGGGGGTTAGGAAGCAGTTAGGATGCCTGGACCGAAGGGAAGAAGAGCTGGTTTCTTAGAAAGGGGTTGGCAGCAGCTGGTTTCTTAGAAGGGGGTTGGTAGCAGCCAAGGGTGGGAGTAGGGTTGATGCGCAATGGATTTGCAAGAAGAAAAGAGGTTGTCCTGCTCCGTTGGTTAGAAGCAGGTGTGGCCCCAAAGCCCTGGCGTGGTTGGGTCTGGTTTCCATCGAGCAGCTTTTCCCGTTCTCCTGAAGGTGGTGAGCACCTGGCACTGAGTAGCGCCCCACACCCCACGAGCAATGCCTGTCTGTAGTGCGCCGTCTCTCCCTGCCCAGGACCTGCCTCATCTGAGAAGGATGACACATCCCAGGTGACCACGGTGGGCATCCTCCTGCCATGTGCAGGAGTCACCGCTCGCAAGTGGACATCCAACTTGGGTCGAGGAGTCAGCCCCCAGGCTGACCTCTCCACCATGCACAGGTCCAGCTGGCCTTGCCTGGTTGTAGCTGACCTTCAGGTTGGCTGGAACTTTCTATGACACAGCTATTATAAAAGAGCTGATAAAGCACATTGGTACCCAGAAATCTGCCTATTTTTTTCCAGCTGGTCTTATAAATGATACCGGTTCCCCCCTAGAGCGCGTGTGGGCTCCGCTCCCCTCCCTGACAGTGACATTCAGAAGGGGCCACGTCTTGGGCTAGCGAAGCACCTTTTGTTTCTCATGCGAAATGATGCTGACATCCGGCCAAGCTATAAATAGCGCCCGTCCCTGCTTCCTTCCCGTCACCTTTCCTCGGGAAATGCTGTCACCGCGTTGTGGAGGAGCGCGGCTCACCTACCCTGAGGTCTCTGCCGTGCACCTTTCACTCCCTTGGGGAGAAGCAACCCTATGGGCGTGCAACCATAGCTTTCTCCTTGCATATACAATATGTTGGGCCAAGGCCAACTGTATGAGATTCAACAAGGCCAAGTGCCGGGTCCTGCACTTCGGCCACAACAACCCCATGCAGCGCTACAGGCTTGGGGAAGAGTGGCTGGAAAGCTGCCTGGCGGAAAAGGACCTGGGGGTGTTGGTCGACAGCCGGCTGAACATGAGCCGGCAGTGTGCCCAGGCGGCCAAGAAGGCCAATGGCATCCTGGCCTGTATCAGAAATAGTGTGGCCAGCAGGAGCAGGGAAGTGATCGTGCCCCTGTACTCGGCACTGGTGCGGCCGCACCTCGAATACTGTGTTCAGTTTTGGGCCCCTCACTACAAGAAGGATGTTGAGATGTTGGAACGTGTCCAGAGAAGGGCAACGAGGCTGGTGAGGGGTCTGGAGAACAAGTCTGATGAGGAGCGGCTGAGGGAACTGGGGTTGTTTAGCCTGGAGAAAAGGAGGCTGAGGGGAGACCTCATTGCTCTCTACAACTACCTGACAGGAGGCTGTAGCGAGGTGGGTGTCGGTCTCTTCTCCCAAGTAACTGGCGAAAGGACGAGAGGAAATGGCCTCAAGTTGCGCCAGGGGAGGTTTAGATTGGATGTGAGGAAAAATTTCTTTACTGAAAGAGTAGTTAAACATTGGAACAGGCTGCCCAGGGAAGTGGTTGAGTCACCATCCCTGGAAGTATTTAAAAGACGGGTAGATGAGGCGCTTAGGGACATGGTTTAGTGGGCATGGTGTTGTTGGGTTGACGGTTGGACTCGATGATCTTGGAGGTCTCTTCCAACCTTAATGATTCTGTGATTCTATGATTCTATGTTTTTATGTTCCACAAGTCATTTTTCCGTGGGATGCATGCTTCATTTGTTGCATAAGGTAGATATGAAGAGCGAATTAGAGGTGTCATTAAAACAGCCTTCGACTTTCCCTGTTAAGGACCACTGTGGGTTTGTTGGACACATTTTCGATAACGGCGATCAACATCAGAGCCACACCTGGTGGAGGGTTTGGTTGCACAAGGTGGTGTAAATGCCTACGGGAGGTGGTGAGGTCCTTGTTGCAAAGAGCTTATAATTAGGGCAGGAGACCAGGGAGAGGTATCGCCCTCCCCACCTCACCCGGCAGAAATCCCACACCCGGTGTTCTCTCTCTTGGTTTGGACACACAAGGTGTAACTTGCCACCCCCTGATGAGGGTGGTGGAGGGCATCACCGCTTGATGGGATTGTTGAAGGAGAGCAGCAGAGGCAAGTTTTTTTGTAGATGTCCATGCGAGCAAGCGTTGAACGCCAATGAGGGTTTTATTGTCCCAAACGCTAATCCGCTGTTTGCTGCCACACAAGACCCACCCTACCTCCATATCACCAAAGGCAACTTGGTTTGACCTCCCATAGGCAACTACCTCTTGGGTAGGAGGGACTTTCCCTGGGTGGTGGCAGGACCTCTCCCGCCCTTCCCTCCTGCAAGCAGTTGAGAGAAAAAAAATACTCGGGGATATGGGGCACAACGGACCATTTCTCAA